CTGAAAACCAGCAATTTTATCTGACAAAATATTGTATACACTCTGGGCATTCTTTTCAATTGCCTATTTTCCTTATGCACACTGTAAACAGAAATCAGGGCTGAAAAATAAAATCAAAAGTGCATAAAGTTGTGATTCCTGATGCTGTACTTGGTAATGGCATCTAAATCCAAGTCTGTCCATTTATCATCTAACTTCTTAATTATGTTTAGTATACTTAGTTGTATCTCTAAAATGCCTGCATTTCTGAGGGATGTACAAAATGGCTGTTTTTGTAAAAGACACTGTTGTATGAAGTCATCCTTTCATTTCTACATATTTCTTGGCACTAGAGCTCAATGAGGGTGTTTAAAACATTTTGTATATTTTAAGTAATTTTTGCTAAGAAATGGAGGAACACCTACCTGAACTTATGTAGTCAAACTTTGTTTGCAGGTGTGTCAATGTAACTGAAGACAGAATTTACCCACTCCTTACAAAATTACTATAAACAGTATTTGTTGACACAATAAGGTCTGGGACTATACAGGTCTTGCTAAGTTACAACATGTACTGTTAGCAGACTGCATCTTTTAAGCATACTAATATTTGTTTAAAGCAGTGTTATTTGGTCAATAAAATATTCAAGACTGATATACAATAAAGTTGAAACCAATGCTTTTAATTTTTATTTTCAGGTCTGAAGTAGAGAGTACAAGCTTGAGTATGCTTTCTTACTGATATTACATGGCTAAAAGCTGTCAGCTGTTCACATGGCATATTAATAAATATACCCAAATCATTAAGTTTAAACTGTATTTGCACATTGCTTTTATTACTATACTGTTTTATTCATGTTGGCACAGATAATCCATGCAACATAATTACTCACATCTCATAAACCACCAGACATTCTGTTCTGAAATAACTAGCAACTTAGGAAAAAATATCTATCTAAAAGCAAGGGCACTTGTGGCATCAAGTCAACATGTCAAAATATTATAAAACCTAGACTTCTAATATATGATCACTGCAGGCAATAAATCACTCAGTTTCAAATTTTGATGTTTATAAATACTAAACAAATTAATATCCACTACCAAGAGACAAATATTGCAAACAAACATTAGTGTGCCCAGCATTAGACACTAATGAGTGTGTTCAGTGCTGTGGACTTTCACATTATTAAACATAAATACAAGTAATCTTCAGCAAAACATTTCACCCAAAGTACTGACCACTGAAGGACCAATGGAAAATATTTTTCCTTGTTTTGAATTGATTTTAGAATTGTGTAATGTGTGAATCTAATATAGTAAAAACGAATGAAAAAAAAGTCCTAAGACTGTTTTATTTTGTCCAGATAATAAAAGTAGCCTTCTTTGGAAACATTTAATTTGCCCTGTTCTGCAAAAAAGAACACCAAAAGAGAGAAAAGAATTAAAAAAGCTTTTGAATCCTTTGACTGAAAAGTTACTGAACACTTTTTAGTTAGACAAAAGACTGATCTTTTTAATTGATCATTCAGAGGTACAGTATCTTTGATTTATTGGGTAAAACCTCACATTAATTAGAATTAAAAGAAATATTCAAAAGAACTTAGGACTTATCCCAGGCATTTCTTACAAGACATAAAACATAATCAAGTACACATTATTCATCTTGCATATTTTTGTACATTATTTTCAGTGATAGTTAAAAGGCCATTTTCTGAATTTAGATATATATATTATTATATATATATATTTGCATTTTACCCTCTTCCTATCACAAAAGTGACGTAGCAGAAGAGTATCAGCAGTTATGTGGTATTCTACCCCTGTGAAAGTTAAAATGCTACATTATTATTCACAAATTTCTGGTTCAGATATGTGCAAAAATTATATCCTAATATAGATATCAAGGGCGGGTACGTGGATTCCCTGTTTTTGGACCACATTACGAAGCAGCACAAGTCATAACAGGAAAATTTTATTACATGATAATCCTCAGGGTATCTCTGTTCTTCATGCAGAGATATCACCGTAGCTCATATAGTGCTATGTAAACTCGCTTTAATCTCGCTCAGGCACCAGCTGGAGGCAGGGCATGCAGCGCAGCTTCTCTGCCCAAGGAAATCTTCAGGCCTCTCTCAAGCCAGCACGGCTCCCACTGAGGTCTGCGCTGCTGCGCCCGCTGCAAGCCAGCTCAGCCCTGCTTACATACCCTGCGTTCTCTTTCCTGCAGTCCAGGCTTCAGATTTACCGGATTGTATCCTTGCTCACCCCTCTGTACGTATTCAAACCACCTCTCTGGGCTATCGGGAGCTACTTCTACCCTAATTTCTTACTTGGAGCCCTCTCCCTGACTGTGGTGAGTCATCCTGGCTGCCCCCCACCCCACCCCTACTCTGACATGCCGGCTTGGTGAAACCGGCCTGACTTGGCTGCTCCTCCCCTCCAAGCCCAGCCTCAGGACGGGCTTCCCGTGTCCTCAGTGCCTCATCTTTCCCCACTCAGGGAGGCCCGCAGAGCCCCTGCATTCCGGCTGTCTCAGGTTCTCTCCCCGGTGAGATGGCAGCCTCCCCTCCCCTCCCCTCCGGGCAGGCCCCGATTCCCACACCCCGCCCCACGCCGGGAACTCCGGGCTGGCCCGGGCCGCCTCAGCTGCCACTTCTGCCCTACCCAGGGACCTGGAGGAAGCTCAGCCCCAGCCGTGCCGCCTGCCAGCGGCTTCCCAGACTGTACTCCTCCCTAAGCTGCAGCCCGACATCCCTGGGCAGATCCTAAAATGATTTATCCTTCGTGCTGCCACGGAGAGGAGTCTTACAGGGACACGGAGGGGGAAGGTGGAGGGGAGAATGAGACACACATATAAACACATGCAGATCAGAGGGGAAAGACCCCGTGAAATTCTCCTGAGGCATCATCACAAGCCCTTCCCATGGAGCCTGACTCCCTGTTCTGATGTTGCAGCCAGAGATTAGTCCGTGTCAGTGGCCAACACTGACACAAATCTACCTAAAGAATATCTTCGATGCATTCTCAGGAGAGAGTATGCTGATGTGAATTCTCTCAAAGAACAATTAATAATAAACAGCATTTTGTCAAATGGCACTGAAAAATGAAAAGGAAATGTAGAATTTTCTCACTTGTGTGAATATGTATTTAATGAAGTCAAATAGGAGTGGAAAAATATTTAACTTCCATAATTATGATTTATTCCTCTGGAGAATATTATGAGCCAGATTTTTGGATTTTATAATCTGTGGGACCGTATTCACACCAGCCCAGCACCAACTGAAAACAGAAAATTTGCTTACTTTTAGAAAAAAAGAAAAAAGAAAAAAAAAAAAAAGAAAGGAAAAAAAAGGCTTAGTGTATAATGTACTAGTGTTTTAGAATAATTCATGCATACAAAAATCTGACCCTGTAGCAATGGAGATCAGATCACTGCTAAGATCAGTGAAAACTAAGATACCTACTGAATAAATACAAGTCATACATGTCAAAACTGCCACAGGCAGTTCACGCTGTTATTTTTGCCCAAGATGCAGACTGCCTGCAGCTAACTTAACCCTTATATTAGAACTCCAAATTTCATTTAATCCTCCCCCAAGCTTTGGATAGTTTTTCATCGCTTAAAAGATGCACAAATGAAATGGGCATTACCCATGGGAGGGACAAGACAGACAATGTTATGTAATTTTTTGCTACTCAGAACAAAAGGTAAAATAGGTGCAGATGGCACCAGCATGTGGCCCACAGAAAGCATCCTCAGCCTCAGAAGTACTAATTCAAAACTGTCAGTACTGCAAGCTGTCAACACACACATCATAATTCTCACTTAAATGAGTTAATAAAGCTTGAATGGTGATCAGACTTTCCATCTTAACTCCATCAGACAGAACTGCTGTCTCCAATATAAAAGTCATTGATATTCAAAAATTCAAAAGTATTATCAGTACTACAGGTATTGCTCATTTGAAAGAAAGAGTTTTATAAAGAACTGTTTGACTAACTTGAAAGTTATTCTCAAACTATTAGGATAGATGCCTGTATGGTTATTAGAAAAGATGACTGTATGGTTATCCTCACTGTTAGAACATAGCTACTGCTTTCCAATGGCAAATACTGCTACAATTCATGATGTGTTGCATTTAAATTAAGGAAAGGAATAGAATATGTGCCTGCTGCCTTAAGAATTTTTGATCAACATTCATTCACTTTAGGAAAAAAAAAAAGCCTTTTTCCTAATTATGTGGGATAGAGTAGGGAACTTTTGCAGGCTATTTCCCACAACCTAGCTGTGCTAGATGGCTGTGTTTCTTCTGACCTTCACTGGTGTGAAGGTCCAGACGTAGGTTCCTACCTCCCTCTGATATCAGTGGGAATTAGAAACCAAAGCAAGATTGAATCTCCTTTTCTGTGGGAGGAAAGGAAAACTGGTTTTGAATTAAAAGTTGGCCTTTCCAGCCAGCTCTATTCCATTCAATGTAAGAGCAATTCAGAGAAAGCCAGTTGTCCTTTTCCATTATGATTTGAGAGTGAATTATCTACTGTGCACATAAGAAGCCAAGTGCACTAGCAAGGCTGACCCAACCATTTTATTTTCAAACTGTTATGGATTGTCACCTAGGCTTCCCAGCTACATATGAATCCAAGGAAGACTTGTTATTTGGAAAGAATCTAAAATACCTGGTGCTATGAAGTAGCACCACAACATAATGTTTTTCCTAGAGGAAGCCCTAATCTATTTTATTTCCCTTTGAAAGCTATGGCCTTTGGTTCTACAGATGACTGTACATATGGCACTTACTCATTATTGCTGTGAAAGAAAAATTACTTAATACAGAAGTATTTTTCCAGTTGTTTTTAAACACCAGTGTGTGGTCTAAGCAGTAAAACTGCTGTGGGTAGTTAGCTTAAAACTATATTTGCACATTACTTTTTATATTAAGGTATTTAGTTAATTTCAATATTTCTGCCATCTGTTGCTCTAATAATGGACTAGTTCATTAGTTCATTTGGTTTTGACTGTTCATTCAATAGGTTTTTGTATGAACTTTGTAAAAAGCACATTCTGCATGTATGAAAGAGGATAAAGTTAAACTTGAGAAGTACCAACTTCTAGCTTTTACCGAGAGAAATGCTAGCCACGGTTATCAACTTTATGATTGCCCAGTTAGTCATCTGTTTTACCCCAGCATTACTGACTACCAACTCTTCTTTTAAACATTGATGGCATGGGCATGCTTCTTGCACAGTGGCTTGTCCTTCTTGGAGTAGAATGGCTGACCTTCCAAATTCACATGGCAGACCTAAAATCAATAATAAATGCAATCAGGAATAATTAAGGAAAAAGGGATAAAGATGTGACTATCAGTTTCAGCTGTACTGCTCTTCTGCCTATGCATTTCTTTGGTGATCTTTAGGAATCATGGATTGATTTGCTGTTGATTTAACCCACTGAAGGAAATAAAGTTAGGTCCTTAAAAAGAACCCCACAGTGAGAATTGCATATTAACAACATATAATAAAACTATCACTCCCACAGAAAACAGGGTAGCTAAGGCAAATGAACAAGCAAAAAAGAAACATGAAATATTCAGAGAAAGTATCTTTATAAGTGATCAATATTTATAAGTGATTAAGAGCTGTTAGCTTGTGAAGGAAACTTGCTTAATGTTCCATGTTGGAACTTCCAAAATATTTAAGTTTTCACAAGACACATTTTTGCAAAGCTAGTTTAGCTTCAGGTATTTATAAACATTTCTGTACTTTCAACTATTCTACCTAAATTTTAGACTTAAACAAGCATTAGAAATTGTCACTGTTGGTTTGGTGTTGCCAACATACTATTTTTAGCTGATTAGAGATTCTAGATGTTATTACTTTTGGAATAATATGTTGCAGATCTGAACAGTGGTATTAGAACCAGATGAAAGTACTGTTTATCACACGGATTTTTCTGCTTTGTGTGCAGTGTGTGGGAATATGTGGGCCACACGCTAGAGCTATGTGCACACCACAGATTGATGAGTTTGACCAACTTCTATGCTAATTACTATTCCCACTCTCTAAACAGACTTCTTTTTGCAAGTTTCAACAAGCATTCAGCATGGAAATACAAACTTCACTGCTTTGTAAGTAAGATTATTGTTATACTGTTCGGTATGGTGTTAATTTACTTTCAGTCTTGCCCTATCTTTATTTGGCAAACACTGGAAAGAATAACAGCAATAGTGCTCTTTACTACTGTATGTAATATCTAAAAGTGGATGTGCTATTAGAAAACACGCATGATGGTCAAATTTCATAATTCTAGTGAAAGTTATGGAGGAGAAGATAAATGACGCCTATCCTTCTGCAAATGCAAGTAAAAAATTAGATTCCATCCCTCTGCATCCTTGAGCATGTGTTACCAGTTATTGCTGCTTTTAGGTTTTCTGATATTACTACACAATTTAAGAGTATAAAGGAATGAGATAGCATTTCTTGTAGAACCTACAGCACAAATGAAACAGGTGTCATGCCAAGTGTGTCCAAGAGCTTCAATGAATTTATCTCCAGCTTCAACAGGATAATCACAGCCATGACATTTTGTGCTGAACAAAGCAATATAATCTAAAATGAAACAAAAAGAAAACTTAGACCAAACTCTTAACATAATCATACTGTCCAAAAGAAATAGAACATTTCAAGACAATGAATGTTTTGATTGTTTTTGCTCAGATTCCCACTACATTTACTGAAACACTCCTACTGAAATTTGCTTTTCTTTCATTATTTAATTACAAGCACAGTCCAGAATCCCCCATTAGTATAACATTTATCATTACAAATGCAGAAGACATACAAAAAGTCCATGGAATTTGAAGTTATGTTTCTCACATTACTTTCAATTTAGCTTTAGTATATGTGGAATTTATTCATAGGACAAATATGGTTATACAAAATAGTCTAATGACAAGGGAATGTTACAAGTTTCCATGCCTGGATTAATGCTCTTTTTCCATAAAGAGAGAAAATTATGGAAACCCCATACTGGCTGATTAATACATCTTTACTTTGTCAAGTGTGATTTGGATAGGCTTGACATTGAAAAATACTAGTGGAAATTCCAAAGGTATATGGAATTAATGAGAATTATTTGAAGTTCTGACAAAACCTCCAATTTTAAAGGTTAGGTACCCAGCCAGTCATGCTATATGGTTTCTGTTCTTCACTAAGAGCTACTCTGACTTGTAAAATCTGAATGGCATAACCATAAGGAAGGAATCTCCAGAGATAAGTAAGCCACGAGCTCACTGAACGCACCAAGGGAATACAGAGGGAATACCAATTAAACATTAACCTCCTTCCTCCCTGTGTCAGGCAACTTGTTTGCATGGCAAGTACCATTTTGGGGAAACACGGCATTTTCTTTTCTTAGTTGGCAAGAAGCAGTTTGTTGCAACAGCCAGGAAGCAAAATCTGCACTAGCATGTGCTGCACATCTGTGCAGAGCTATCTTCTCATAAGTGTTGGCTGAGAAAATCTAGGGTGAGGCAACAGCATCAGAGGTCACAGCTCCAGCAACTCAGTGGGATTGTGGGCAGCCCTAGAAGACTAATTTTTCATTTCTGGTGAGCAGAGTCTACCAAGGAGGGGAGTGGAACAAGGGAAGATGTGTAGGGAAAAAAGTACTAAGTATGATAATACAGAAGGGAGAGAAGTGAGGGAAGGCATTGTGGACACTGAGGCAAAGACCAGCGCTCTACCATTCTCTCATATAAACTGGAGAAAAATACAGAGACACAACACTTGTATGTGTGGAGAGAGGAAACAAAATCCATGCAGGATGGGTATCTGATACTATTTTGTTCACCAGCTGCTTTATTCTTGCGTTGTTTCCATGAACACGAAGCACACAATTACTGTGCAGAACTGTCCAGACTGCCATACCTTTCTCACAGTAAGGCTCCCCATCCTCCATGTGGAACAGGCTATTCCCAAATGGTTTCTTACAAGCAGCACAGACAAAGCAACTTGTGTGCCAAGTCTGTCTTAGGGCATGCATCACTTCCTGTAAAACAAACAAACAAACATACAAAAATCTCCAGCAGACTAGCCAGCCCTGCAACTTCCTCCTGGAGAACAAACACAAGGCAGAGATGCTCTAAATTCTTCCCTTCTGTATCAGCCAATTTCCCTCCTCAAAAGAAAGAATTGTGACAGAAATTGGGCTCCTTTTGGGAAGAAAGAGGAAATAGGACTGCAAGCTTTCTAGAACAATGTATTTGCCAAAGTAAAACAACATGGTTCAGCCAGCAGTTTGTATCAACATGCCCAGTCACTGTTGTAGAAGTGATTCTGCACAAAGATTCTGATTATTTTCTCTTTTGTTTTGCCACAGCCAGTATGAACTCTCCGACACAAGAGTACGATTTGTTAAATAAATTTCAAAGAGTCATTTTCTAAGACCAGGAATAAGTGGTGTAAGTCTGTTGCTTCAAAATAATCTAGATTCTGTAGCATTTTTTTTATGCTTCTTACAAGAATGATTCACAAACTAATGTAAAAATCTAAAAAAAAAAAAAGGGAAGGTTCTTTTAACTTATGTGATTAGTAAAAATGAATCTGCATGTCTCTCCCTAGTCCATGTGTTTATCACAAAAAAACCCAGTTCTGTGCAACAAAATTCTCCTCAGAGTATTTGAGTACATCTAGATTTTATCAGCTTCTTCTGTCCAGTATGGAGAAACCTCTATTCCTGATTCATTCTTTTGTCATAACGAAGTCTTCCAAGTCCAAAAGCTGCTGTACTGGGCTCTGATACACAGTTACCTGCTAATTTGTCAATCTTACATGTAGCCACGATGATGTTTGTCAGTGTATCTCTGTCCAACTGCCCAGATTTCCAAGGGCCAGCTGCGTAACTGATGTAAATTAACTTTGTTAACTTCAGTGAAACAGCAATGATTTATACCAGCTGAGAATCTAGATCCTATTTTATGTTGCTTCCAATCATACACATAGACTCTCATTCACTTTTAAAGATTGTTTTTAATATCCACTGATTATGACAAAATGGATTGAAGTCCTCTTTCCATGCTTTCAATCCAGTGAATAGACAAAATAAGTCTAATTTAGAGTTGCCATATATCTCATTAGAGAATCACCATTTGAGATTCATTAACTTCTGTTACTGTCTGCAAAACAACTATTGCTGATAAATATGTTTGGATCCATTTCTGAACCTCAGTGAGGTAAGAAGCAAAATTAGCTTGAGAAATCTTATTAATATAAATAGAGGCAGCTGGCATCTTTGCTATTTTCCTGATGAAAATCCATAATGGGAAACTGATTTGTGCCAGCATTCATTAGGTACGTTAAGTCAGCACTCTGCTATAAATTACTCCTTCTGCTGCAGTAGCAAACAAGACTTGGTTGGAGCCAGAGCTTCACCATCGATGTCTGATGCTGCCACAGCTAACTGGCAGTTGCAGAGAAGAGCATCTGTAATGCCAACATTTAGACAGACGTCAAAAGGTGACAGCTAAGCAATGAAAAACTAGTGGGGGTCTCATTGCTTCTTCATTTGAGTCACACATTCACTAGAACTGCATGCATAAATACACTGCTAAAATTACTGATGGTATTCCAACCTCACCACCATCTAAGGCAAGTGGAGAGCAGATTAAATTGTACATTTACTTGTACATGACTCCTTTAAGACAAAGTGGCATTTTTGGCTTTGTGGAATTCAGATCTTTGTATTTATTCTGTATTTTCTTAACTATAAGAAGCAAGCAGAATTCTTCAACAGCTGTGCTACTAACTAACAGTGAGGTGCAGCAAGAGCAATAGGCCTCTTCCCAACATCACTGATTTCCCTACTGAAATTTTAACTAAGTCCTGTGTAAGAAATAAAAACCCAGTTCAAGTCTCTTACTACAAGGAAGAGAGAGATAGAAGTTACATAGTGGGTATCAGATAGCAAAAAACTACCCAGAAAGTGTTACTTATTTTACATCAGTGAGATGGTACCTGGATTACATATTCTGTCTATGAGCTCAGTGAGGTACAGAAATATCTGTATTCTGATGAATAAAAATTATTATAAAATAATGTGTTTCTCATTCTGAAATAATCAAAAAGCTGGGAAATAATTAAAAGGATGAAATAATAAAACATCTACATTCATTGCTCACAGTCTAAACTATTTCACTATTTCAGAGATCCACACAGTTGCAGAAAGGGTTAATTTTGTTCTCTTACCCCCATAATCTTAGTGTGGCATCTGGCACAGGTTGGTGCAAAGAACTGTTCATAGCAGCGCTCACAGTACACACTGTTCTGCTCCTCCACAAAGCACATGTCAGCCAAGGATGTCTTGCAGTAAGCACAATTGAATTCTTCTGGGTGCCAAGAGCGACCCATGGCTACCAGGAAAGGACCTCTGGAAACAATTGTAATTGTCTTATTTGTATTGCAAAAAGGTTGAATGACCCTGATTGCAAACTCTCTTTGTCAGACACCATGTTCACATGTAAGAAGCTACTTGAATCATGAGGTGCATATTAAAATAACATTCAGAAACCTGAATAGAAGAGGTTTTTTTCAAGACTATTACTCAAAACACACTGGTTAAAACATTACATTATTGTTTGGTATCATACACTGCATTTACAGACAACTGTTGGAAAAATCAATTGTTTTTGTATCTGCAAAGCTGTAAGTGGTCTTTGCAAGCAGATGCAAAGAGAATAGGAAAAGGCCCAAAGCAACAGAAGATAATGCTACTATTTGAAAGCATGAAATAACAAGCAAATTTCCATCCTTACACACCCACACCTCACAAGAGCTACTAAAGTCTCCTGCCTTCTTTCTGTCTGACAGCAATGCATGCAGCATGTTCTAGAAATGTCAGACTATCAGGTGACAACTTGCTGTTTCATTATGTGGAAGACACATTAAATTCATTTTGGTAATTGACTCCGGTGATTGTAGTTAGATATAGTGATTATTACTGGAATATTTCCATTCCAGAACATATAAAGGGCAATAATCAGCAGCTCCACATCACCAAACTAGCTCCTTTTAGTGGGGAAGACTGTCATTAAACATGGATTGCTTAAAGTTGGACAGCAGTGCATAGGCTAACAGAAGGCACTGATCCAGCAGAGTGAATTGGGAGAAATGGGAGAGGCATGCTATGAATCACTGGTAATAAAGTGTGGGCATTATCTTTCTCCAGACACAAAAGCAACAATTACATTTGGCTGCTGTTCCAAAATGCTGCCCAGTTCCTTTTCTCTCCCAAATCCCCCCCCCTCTGCCCCCAGTCCCCTAACTCTCCCAATTAAGTTGCATGAACCTCCTTCAAAGGGTTACCTTAGGACCAGAAACCTGTTTAAAATCAAGCAGGGATTTGCTGCAGCGTCCAAGAGCCAAACAATTAGCATGCATAACTTTACAGTGATAAAAAGTGAACCACACAACAACAAAATGAGCTCTGGAAATGTTAAATGAATGAAGCAGACAACGGACATTCCTGCTAGGTAATTTAACGGAGTCTTGGGCTCTGGAACGGTATATTAATGTACAATAATCAGCCTCTCTTTTGGAGAGAAAAAAAGGAAACTTCTTTTCCTGCTTCATCCCTCTTCAAAGGCCCATGACCTTACCGAATGATGCTGTTACAGTGCCCACAGAGAGGAGTTCGGCTGCTGGCTGGAAAACGCTCCGCCCTCTGAACTGTTCCCCGGGCTAATGCAGGGGGCTGGGAAGAAGTTGAAACTGGAGACGGGTAAGCAGAAATTGTGGCAGGAGATGGCACTGGAACACCCCTTGGTAGGATGTGCTTTGTGACAGTGGTGGTGGATTTTCCAGGTGCAAATTTCTGGGAAAAGGAGTCGTCTGTTACCCAGGGAGGGCGACTCGCAGGCTCCGTGTTGGCAGGGGTGTAGGAATGAACTGGTGCTGGCGCTGTTTTAAATATCCCAAAAGAAACCAAGAAGGATTTTAAAGTCTTTTTCTTCTACTGTCAATACAGCAACACTTACCAAAGGGTACTCCACGACACACATACAATATAAGCTTTAGGTGATAGCTAATTATGGCCTGTCCCACTGCTGCTCATTTATTCTGGGCTGAAGCCAAGGGTATAAGCACAATCACTGACTTCTAATATACAAGAATTACAGAAATCATTGCCTACTGGCTTTTACAGATTTTATGGAGATCATTGTCAAGATCATCTCTTAATTTTCTAGTAGGAATGGATATGGCAATTCTGTGATAATTTCAAAGACTGTCATATACTCTTTAAGATAAGGTTAAAAATAGATAAGCCAGATGATATAGTAAAGTTTTAGATAGAATTCCCCAGAATTTCAGTAAGTTATGCTTAACTTTTTATCTCATTATATTAACTGAAATACAACATGTTCTACAGATGTCACTGTTATCTATCATTTGTAGGTTTGTTCCTAGGTTTTTGAAGAAAAACAGGCTCCCACAGGGAACACAGAGATAGAGAGCACTGGAAGCAATACTGAGGGAGACAATTCAGCTCACATGACCAGCAAGATAAAGCCAACAGCACTTAGAGAAAGGCCAGACTTGTGGTTATGACTGATCTCAGTTGAGTTCTTGGCTCTGCCACAAACTTCCTGTGTAACTTTGAGCAAAGCAAAGTGTGTCTGCGCCTCAGTTCCTGTGTGTAAAACAGAATACTATCCTTTATCTCTTCCACCCTTTGACTAGCACATAAAACCTTCAGTGCAGCCTGTCTCCGTGTTTGTGTGCACCGGGCTCTAATTTTGGGTGGAGCTTTATCACATCAAAATAAGCAGGAGCCAGGGGCTGCACATACTGACAAGTTTTCCCATTGCCCTGTTCTATTCAAAACGTCAGATTTTGCATTATGTAGGACTGAAGTTACTGCCCAAGAAACAGCCTCACTCTGCCAAGTACAGGAGCACTAAAAGCACTAAAGTTTCCTTTTGCAAGGAAAACAAAGCAAATTATTATGAAAAGAAGTTTAGAGAGCTGAATTGTTTCGTCCAAATGAGAGAGCACAGTTTTGGAAGCCAGTTTTCCAGCAGTCTGGGCAAACATTCCGTACAGTAGATCCCAGCACTAAGAAAATCATGACCAAATACAACATGTATAGGTTTAAGGGGCTTGCAGGAGGTATTTCAGCCAAGAGGGCTCTTCTGAAAGTAACATGGCTCTTTCTGCATAATTAAGTGCTGAGAAGATTTTATTCGACTTAACACCCCTCCCTCAGCCCACACCCTGCCACATAGTAACTTACACTGATTATTGGCAATTGCTTAAATTGCATATATATGTACGCACTGTGATCACTCTTGTGATCTTTTTATTGAGGTCAGAGTTGAACCTAGTGCATTTTCTTGATAAAAATTTCCTATGGTATAGCATCAGCAATGTTTCTATTTCATAAAACTGTATCCCGCCTTAGCTGGAGGCTTCTTCTTTTTTTTTTAACTTGGAAATGGTAAATAGTATTTTAAAATTTCAGAACAGAGTTTATAAGCAATCTCTTTAGATCCTGAGGCTCTTGCTATTTATGTATTACAGTATTAAGATTAAAATTAGAAGTTAATATTTCATCTCTAATTGGTGAGCTCAAAAGGCTCCCACCTATGAGGCTAATTAAGCAAGGTGACTTCAACTCATTTCACTACATTCTCTCTCCCTTCTATTTCTTTTCACTCTTCCATTTGCTGCAGTAAAATAAAGAAACAGAAAAAAGGAAAGTAAAATAAAACAACAAAATAGGATTTTTTTCCAGTTACTAAAAGGAAGTACTGGAGGAATTATTGCAAAATTACAAATGCTGTGTGTTTGCATCTACCCAGAGTTCTCTTTTCAGATGTTATAATTTAATTTTACAGGCTTGATTTATTAAAATACATTTTCCTCCTGTGAGCAAGCTGCAATTTCTATTACTTCAAAATAGCACCACTGCAATACATTAGAAAGATTTCACTAACTTTGAGATTTTAGCAATTGTTATTAAAAGGGAATTACCTTGTTTTCTTAGAACTACATCCCTAAGCTTATACGAACAATTCTTTTGTCTTAGTAGCTACTGCCATACACATTCATCTAGAACATTTATCTATTTCAAAAAGTCTTTCAACACTAATCAGCAGAAAAAAAGGGGCTGTTTGCTGCTAAAAAAGTATTGAAATTCAGTATATCAGAGAATATATTCTCAAAATACCAGTATTGTACAAGTTGACCATTAACTTAAAAAATGAAAACTTCAAGTAATTCAGCAACTTAGCCTCTATCACCTTGTTTCCCTCAGCCCTCACATTCTCTTAGAATAGGAAAGAATGAATGGGATTATTGTTATCCTGACAGAATGGCAGGAGAAGAGGTCTCTCTTAACAGGAGTAGGAACAAACCAATTCCTTGCTTCTGGGGAATTTGGAATTCTCCCCCTCAGCTCTTTATTTATGGTCTATGGCTATTTTCTCTCCAGACAAAAAGACACATTACCAAGACTCATTTAGTAAAGCAAAGATTTATAGAGTCTCAAATGCTTTGGTCACACACTGACTTGCACTGTGAGAACATTTTTTTCTTTTTTTTTACCCTTTGTTAGTAAATGACAAAAGTGTTACTCTTTCCTATTTTCAGTAACAACTTAAATTAACAATCACAACTGATATGGCTTGTTCTACACTTGGTGGCCACATCCTCGAAGCCCAAAGTTTTCTCATATACTTTTATAGTATAGAGTAGATGACAGACAAAGCAGATGATGTTTTATAGGGAGACATTATTCTTATTTAGGGGAACTAAAAATGAAATGGTGTGGAAGATGCTTCAGCTAAGCTGGAGATGCTTAGGATTCAATATAAAGTCCATTAAGAACTGTGGGAATCTCTCTACCAATTCCTGAAAGAGCAGATCAGGCCTTTATGCTTGACCAATTTTACATACACAAGTAGGCCCAGTTGGACTTAGGGATTTAACAGGAAAGATCTGCTTTCTTACATTTTGGTATTGTGTTACTTCGTGGTACAGAACTGGAGCTGGAGTTGCTTGGGGTATGTGAAAAGTTATCCTGGTCTGGGAAAGTCTACGGGAAAGGAATACCCAGGTATGTTCTGCCATCTAGTGGGCCTTGTTCAGAAGAGAAATCTGTGCTCCTTTTAAAAACAGGATATGAAATTTAGGGAAAAGATTTCCAAGTTCATAGCTTTCTCTACTGGAAAAAACTAAAGATATTTACCAGCAGAAAATTTCCCATCTGAGTTAGGTTAGGGAAAGTGTAGACTGCCTGATAAATCCCATCTGAGCCAGATGTTCGACAATGCATTTTCATTTTGAGACTTGTGTCAGTTTGTTTGAGGTTTTTCAGTCTGAAAGATTAAAATAGCCTTGTAAATCCTCTCAGTGACTGATTCAGGTGTCTCTCTATTGGGTAAATGAGCCTGTTTATTGGTGTTTTAATCTGGAAGTTGCTGCCCCACATTTCCAAGGGAAGCCAGTCATTGGCAAAGTTGGATGAGGTTCCATCTTGGTGGTTTGTTTCTAAGTACTATTGATTTTCCCATCTGTGACAGCAACTGCCATTTCCTCCATTTCTTCCCAAGTGGCAACTTCCCATTTGCTCTGCAACTGTCTCCGAGGCAAGCTCATGTTCCAAAACCACTTTGAAATGCTACTACATCAAATATATAACACTTTAAAAAAGGTACCAAACAAGAACCAAACATCTTCACTGAAAGAAGTTCATCTCTGCCTGGAACATCTCTTGTACCTGAGTCACTTTAGGGTTCAATTATGAAGGTATTTTAGAATTCCTTATTGAATATTTCAAACTCCTAAACAGTACAGGAGGACTTCTTTCTCTGCCAACTATTTTAAGCCTTTATTGAGATGCAATGAGGCTCAAAAACAGCAACGTAAGGAATCGCAAAGGAACACCAGCAAAGTAAGAAAGTGCAAAGAAAATGCCCAACCCAGGAGCAAACCCAGGAAAAAAGCCTTTCTTCTTATGCCAAATAGAATTCAACAGCCAGCTTTGACTTTACCAGATCCAGCCAAAAATTGGAAATAGCTGCAGATGTATTTCTGTGGCAGGTTTGTATATTGAACTGGAGTTTATACTTCCCCAAATGAGCACAGGGCTTAATGTCAGTCAGTGTATTTAGGAGATATTTTGACTTGCCACACTTTGCTCTTTTCTATATTATAGAAATATACCTGGTGTCGTCATCTTTTCAAGTCAAAAATAATAGCATTTGCCTTCAGTGAGAACATGGTGTAGACTGGTGCACTTAACCAATAGCAAATGAGGAGAAGCTGAAGGTTTATTTACATTGAGACCCTTAAATAGCTCATGAGAGCTCTGACTTGACTTTTTCTACCTTTATTCTCAAATATAAAGATCATTTGATTTGTCTGCTTTATGCCTAACTAAAATTCCTACATTTGTTCAATTTCAATACATCCAGAAACAGAACAGCACAGAAGACAGAGTTTAAGACTGTTAGAACTCTTGATTTGTCCATATTTATTTGACTGTAAATATATAAACCAACTTTTTAATTCTCTTAAAAATCTAAGATCAGAAAAGCCTTAATTTGAAACAGAACTGCCTTTAGAATTATACTGCTGCCTCATTTAACTCATTCAGTTTGAAGGTTCGCATTTTGGTCATCAATGGCTTTAAAAGCTCAGTCCATTTGTAACACATTAATACCAAGGGAATTTAAATAGTATCAAGGAGCATATTTTCCAAATGAATGAATAGCCAAATACATTCCTTAAGTTTCTAGATCTCTGGGAAATGGAATAGCATTATGAGGTGCTTTAATGCCTCATCCTTTATTTCAAATATAAGCCTAAGTTTGAGAAGTTCGATACATGGTCTTACCTATTTTGCAAATGTATCCTATTCAAGCAAACTCCACTTATTTTACCTCCTTCCTGAACTTTTCATTCTTTAGCTGCCTTATCAATTCTGTAGTGTCACTGTCCTCCTAAATGGATACACTGTGTTATTTTGTGAATGTATTTCTGCTAAAAAATCAGGCTACACATTTTTTATTAGACTTTTCCCTTGCTTTTAGTTTTCCCTCAGTTTGTTCTACATTTTAACTCTGAAGCAGAATACAACATAATCCTTAACCTTCAGACAATCTGAGGCAAAACTAGCAAGATTTAGTCCCATATATATAAATACTTTCTGATATGTCTGTGTACAAAATATGTGCTTTCTGTATTTTATTTTTCCAAAATAAATGCATGAGCATTTTTTTCAGAATCTTTTCAGTACTTTGAAGGCTCCTTACCTGGCTGGTAGACAGAGGGCTTTATGCTGGCAGTAGTAACAACTCTCATTTTTGAAGCAGCAGAAGGAGCAGGACTTTCACTGTAGCTTCCAGAGACTGGCATTGGTGTATATGACTGGGTTGTGTTTCTAAAAGCAAAATGTGGGTGTGAACAACCTTATAAACAGCAGAAATTACTGACCATAAAGTAACAGACCTGGCAGCATCCAGAGCACTCCAAGAGGAACTGTCTGTGAGAACTACAGAGAGAATGTTGGGAGATTCATCAGTCTTTATCATTGCTAAGGAAGTCTTGGACAATTCTTTGGAAAGAAAAATTAGTCAGATAAGGATTTCAAGCAGTGGCACGTTGTTGATCCTGTTGTTGTCACAGAAAATAGCTTGCTGAGGGAATATGACAAATTTGAAACTCTCAGTTTAACAAGGGATAAGGCTTCACAAAGTTGCACACAAAGTTTGTGTTTTCTGTTCCTCTGCAAACAAAAAGGCCTGGTCTTGTCTAAGATAAATCAATGAGAGATACCTAGATTTAAAAATATACTTGCTCAACACAATTACTACAATTACAAATGATAATTAGTATTTATGTACTGTTATACTCTTTTCAAAAATATTGAAGTGATGTTTAAATTTTTTTCTGGAGCTATCTCTTTTCCGTATTTAGACTGACACCAAAATTTACAGTAATTTTCCTAATGTTCAGATTCATCCTTCAGAAAAAAAAATATGATATGTAATATTATGATCCACTTTCTTGCAGTCCTAGAATAAAAACATTTTCTCAGGATTCCAAACATTAGTAAGAAACAGTTTTCCTCTATTTTATGGCTTAGATGATGATTCTCAGTTTGATTACAGTAACAGATTAAAAAATATGCCTCTTCTATCAGTTACTTGGGATGATTCTGTTTGTAGTGCCTGTGCATCACAGACTGCTAAAAGAGCATTACAGTCAAAACAAGCATGAGAGAATAAAGAAGTATGAGGAAGGGAAGCAAGAGATAATGAGATGTGTGCAGTAAGAAAAACCTATTCACTACAGAACATCCTTCTTAGTCACCCTGAAAACACAGTTTTGCTCTTTTTTTCCTTCAGCGTCACTGCCCTATGAACTACCTACAGATTCCTACCTATTTATGCTGACAATTAAGGAGTTATTTCCATAGTGGGTTTGTCTATAGGAAAACATCTGTCAGCAAGTGAAAAGGAGCATCCTGCTTTGCCAGATTATTGCTCCATCTTGACTTTACTTTTTTAAGAGTGGAAACAGATGCCATCTGGAGAAAACACATTATAGTCTTACATGGCAAACCCAGCAGATTTCTTCCAGTACAGGTAAGAAACATTCTAAGAAATGGAAAGTTTCCATTTTTAATTTTTAACAGAATAAACCTGTCCTCAATGTAGCTTTTTGCTGCTCTGAGAGTGTTTCTACTATAGATCTAGTTTGCATAGCATTGCTGCCTCAGGCTAACTTATTTTGTCTATTTAGCAAGACCTAGAAACTTAGCTATTGCTATAATGGCTATAGCTAATTATTTCTGTAGCAAGTCCAGGGCTTAGGCCTGGATTTGGGTCCACTATACCATGGGTGAACACAGCTCTTCAAGGTAAACTATTTTAGTGGGTTTGTGTTCACTGTAAATTCTGTTGTGAACTGTGCTGTGATTTGTAACTGCCAAAGCTGTTCTAAGCACCGTAAAACTTGCTGTTTTCCATTCTTTCCATCTATTTCCTGACGATACCTCCTGTGTGGTGCCTAAGAAGGCACTGTGCTTGGGATCACTGGACAGGGGCCACTGCTCCTGCCATAGCACAGGCACACAGACACTGTGGGCACACTGGCTTCACCCACAGCTTTCAAAATGCCATTGGCTAAACACACCATCTAAAGATTTGTTCTTGTTTTAAAATTTGCTACCCAGGGTAAACTAGAGAGTTCACTGCCCAATATTTACAATGTGGGTTAAAAGATTTTAAAATTATGTGTTGCACAGCCTTAACCTGTAAATGTCATCCAGTCAGGAAAGTCTACTCCCAGGTGCACAGGTCCAGTGGTTAGAAAGACTTATTTGAATCTCTCTTAATGCACAAAATAAATAAAGAAACCCTGAACCAGATTAGTAATACTTAGACTGTCATGAAGGAAAACGGTTATTCAAAATTCAAGTGTTTCCCAAATGTAATATCATAGTAGAGCCATACCACACATTTCCTTGTGTTCAGGAAAATGAATCTGAAAAAAACCCCAAAACAACACACTCCTCCCCACACTCATAGTACCAGAACCATAGCAAAATTAAAAGAAGTAACAAAAACTTCTAACCCTTTACATGTGTATGATGCATATTAAATACAATAAAGAAGATAAGAAAGCTTGTCAAAGACAAAGTGTTACACTACATCATTAAGGGTTTAGTGGAACAAAAGATTTATCAGAAAATCTGATGAAGAAAAGGAGGTGGCATGTGATTAAAAGAACAAAAAAAAAAAAAAAAGAAAAAAGAAACAAGAAAGAAAGAAAGAAAGAAAGAAAGAAAGAAAGAATAAAAAGATGTTGTAAGGACCAAAGATGCTTTAATGGATCAAGAAGCACTGGCATCTCAAAAAGCAGTGAAAGCAATCTTATTGAATTTATCTGTAGCAGTCAATGGCATGTGACAGGCAGCAAATTAAATACCGGCTCTGAAAACTATTAGTCGTCAGAAAAAGAAAGAGTAAATATTTCTAAGCAGATCATTTTTATGTTAATGCTTCACTAGATGCCTACTAGTAGCAATAAACTGGTTTGTTAAGTGCTTTTAAGGTAGAATAGCTGCACAAAACATTTTTATACCTCTGCTTTGACTGGTAGCTGATGGAGGTGGAAGAATGCCGGTTGAAACTAAAATGAGACAAAAGTGGTATTTGAAAAAAATACACACAAAAGATTGGGATATCTTGCCCTACCATGAATTTCCTATGAGTAAGAAGTACTCTTAAATGCTAAAATAAACAACATGTACATATTTTTATTCATATAAGATGAGTATTACATTGCATTTTGTTTTCTTATTTAAGCTGGGAATCACAGTGAAACCTGAAGAGGGGCAACATTAAGTCAAAGAGCTGAGTATATTGTTCCACAAGTCACTCTCATCTGATCTTGTTACTTGATTGTGGAACTCTAATTATTTTTATTAGCACAAAAAAGTAAATACAAGGGATTTTTCTCAGTGTCGTAAGTTTACATTGCATCAAACCCGAGAAGCAAACCTTGAATGAACCAAAGGCCAAAGATCAGGGAAGTGCCCCAGCTTATGAGGCAGCTCAGAGAACCCCACAGAAAGGACAGGCTGGCACAGTTGAAAAAAAAACATCCACCCACTATGCTCAACTTTTGCCTTGCAGAACCTTTCTACTTCTACAGTCTTAGGTAAACAGGTAGATTTTTTTTTTCTTGTGGAAAAAGTGTAATTTCAGAAAAGAAATGAGTCATTTATGCAAAAACAGGGAGTACTTGAAAGCCTGCATAATCTATGATCTGAGAAACAAGAGGATTCAGAAAGAACAGAGCTCCTGTCTGCAGGGCAGTGCAGCACTACATGGCATCAATCCCATCCCACAGAAGCACAGCCCACATTTCCCAGAATCACCAGGAGTCTGCCTTATGCCAGTTATTTTCCTGACTTCTGGAGAAGAGTTCTTCTTCCCTTTACCATGGACACAGTGCTTGGATTAAAATCTCCTGATCAAAAGCTACACCTGACCTTTAGAACCGTAATTGTAACTCTCTCCATTGTTTCTCCTGGTTTTGTATTCCCAGAGTGCTGTGGCATGGGGTGCCCTGCTTTAACCCTTGGATAGAATAACCCATCCCTAAAGAGCTTCGAGCTTATTCAAAACTCTCCTGCTGTGCTTGCTTCTGTTAAATGAGATTGTAAGTGGAATAGATAACAGTATGTCAGATTTCACTGCAGATGTAAAAGAGTAACACAGTCTGTGTTAAAGGTTAGTGATTTACTTCAAACACTCCTCTTCAGGAACATTATAAAGACTTTAATCATGTTAACTGTATGCATATGCTCACAAAAGCTAAGTCACTATAGAACCGGATGTACCAAAGGTTAAAATCAGATTTAAATAGTTAAAGATATTAATCAAGAAATCCTCCTGTGTTTTCTTTTAAAAGCAACTACAAGGAAAAAAACACCAAACACTGGAATAATTGTGATAAAATCTCAGCCTCATCTACCCAAGAATATCCCCAGCCTGTAAAACAGTGTTGTTATTAAGGTCATCCATATTTTATTTTGAAATAAAATTGTATTAAAAACACAATACTCCTCTGGTGTATGTCAAGCTGAAACTGGATTTTTAAGTCTGTATTTTGGCATGCTAAAGCATCGCTCGGTTTCTAAATGAAAATTACCAGATGCTCAACAATTTGAATTATACATCAATTTAGAAGCCAGTTTGAGTCCCTTACATTTGAATACACAAGCTATAATACACAACACTTTTTAAAACTAACATGGAAGAAGTACACCAAGATAAAGAACCTATTCCAGCTGCAAGACAGCCATCCAAAACCAACCAACCAACCAGAGTTTGCTTCTTGTACTTGATTATCACGGAACTGAATTTTTACAGGTCCTTCAAGTCTCTGGTTTGCCTTTATGTCCCTGTCCAAGCCAAGACAATAACATTTGCCTGTTGGTAATAAGGAAGCAGATGACAGCATCACACTTGTGTCATCCATCGACAAAGCAGCAGCGTATAAAGTTGATATGCTGTAGAACTTTTATATGTGACCAAAACAATTGCGAGGTGCAAGCAAGAGGACTCTGATTAAAGCATTTCTTTTTGAAATGGACAGATGTTTTTCATAGATCCACAGAATATTTAAGGTTGGAAGAGGCCTCAGGAAGAATCTGATCTATCCTGCTGAAAGCAAGGCCAGCTCTGAGGTCAGACCAGGTTGCTCCATGTTTTAGCCAGTGACGTCTTGAAAACCTTCAAGAGTGGAGACACAGCTTCCCCAGGCAAGTCACTTCCTTTCAAAGGGGTAGGAAAAACAGCAATGGTCCATGCCAATCTAATTTACTAATTTACTTTCAATTCAAAAGTCCCAATATCTCAGTGTCATCTTTTTATCCTCATTAGAATTTTGTTTCACACTGCTTAGTCCATATTGGTACGTAACTACAAATGAATTTACATGGTTTTGAGGCCTCACACAGCTTCCCTTCTCCCATTAAATGGATATGAAATTTAAGGGAAACAGAAAAAAGCTCAATCAAAAATAATTTTACATTACCTCTAAAAAAGACATGCAAATAGTGTCAGCAAGTTACCTTTCTACTAATTCTACATGTAAATTATGCATAATTTTTGCTTAACTTGTCCCTGCCCATGGAACTAGATGATCTTTAAGATCCCTCCCAGCCCAATCCATTCCAGGATTCCATGATTTCCATGGCAGGAATGGAAACAAGCTCTTAGGAAAGATTTAGATGGGTCCTAAGATATAGACTGGTGAAACATGAATAGATGTGCTCTGTCTGGCCAGAATAGTCACCAAAGCTTCCATTTAACTTCAGCTTCTGACTGATGGATACATTTCAATCTTCAGCTGAGAGAAACCCTAAAATCAAGTCTTTTCTGTAGCTCAGGAGAAATAACAGATTTTTAATCAAACTCAAATGTATACAGTTATTAATTATTGTGTAAAAAGCAAGGAACCTTACCTGAGTACCAGGGGCTTCTTGAAACTGAAGTTACAATTGGTATACTTCCACTCATCAGCAGTTAATTTTGTTTCTTACATTTTATCAGCTCCATATTGGGACTACTTCCCCTTTGTAATTCCCATGGCTGTAAACAGGCAGGTTCACATCCTAAAACTGAATACTCTTCCGATGTTTGGTTCCATAGCTATTTCATTTTTGCACTGGTTTCAGTGATATGAAGCCAATCAAACTGCTCCTAAGTACTACCTGTGCTGCTCACTTAACTGTTCTGTGATTCTTTTGAGAAAAACCATTACACTTCTTGGTGTGAAGCCTTCAAACTTGTGCCCTTTGTCAATTTCAAACATCGCCTTTGGGTGATTCCTAACTTTTTTTTTATATAAAGATAAGACACACATGGATAATTACACTCTCAGATGTATTGCTGATTGAGTTTTTCATTATTTCTGAAAACTGTGTTCAAATGAGTCTTAAAATCTACTGCTTTTTCCTCTGTAAGTTGTCAAAGTGTTACGAAAGCAGTGAAAAGGCTTAGAAGTGAGGCAGTACAGCAGCATTCTCTCTTTCTAGTGATAAAAGATTCCTGTGATCCCGCATTTTCACCAAGAAAAAAAAAGGTCCATCATTCTCACCCAGTGTCTCTAGACAGTTTTCATTTCCGGATGGCAAAAGCAGCACAAACCAACCTCTGCTCCAAGAGGACCTTGTGGTCACATACCATACATCTAATACTTAGCTGTTTCCTAGCTGGGTTGTCATGCAGAAGATAAGGAAGGAGCTATTCCTTTAAACACATTGTGCTTTTTCTCTGCCAAATCAATCCCTTCAGAAACTGAAAACCTCATATCAGAGAGCATAATACAAAATCAAAACAAATTAGGTTAAAAGAAGAGAGCTTTGCAGATATACCTAGACTGAGATGAGATAGCAGATGAAATAGTGGAAGCTGCTAATGACATGTTCGTGGGCCCATGGAAAGGCTTAGGCTGGGAGAGAGAGCTGGGAGCTGCAAGAACTCTGCAGAAGACACATAAAAGCATGAAAGCATGAACAAAATGATTTAACAGGGACACAAATCATGACATCAGAACCAAGCTCTGGCAGGATTCAGACACAGAAAGACTGCTGCATAGTTACCAGGAACAGGTTTTCTGTAGCACACATCTGCAGACTTACAGAAAAGCACAACCAAGCACATTCCTACAGAACACAAGGCAAAATGCAAACATTATGGAAAAATTTTAAAATCAGACTCTCTCAATAACTAAGAAAGACAGTATTACAGGACAGGACTTTTGTCAATGATACATGCTTTTATCTGAAAGATCTGAAGATGTTTGAGTCTAAATACAAGATAAAAATTTTACTACGCAAGCAGACCCAGACAGAAGATTGACCTATAGAAACCAGAATGAATTGGAATGATTAGTTTAGTAAAGGCATTTTTTTGTCTGAAGCAGATACTAGGTAATACATTTTCTTCATGCTATGGTTTCAACTGAGGGATAAAAATTACTTAAACATTATCATTATTTTATGTGGAAGTGCCTCTCAGGCCAGTTCTGAGTTAGAACATAAGACTTTATTCAAATCTCCTTTGCTGTCTGATTAATGGATTTTAGTGCATTGGAATAAAACCACTGCATTCTGGTAAGTCACGGCTAGGTAAAAACTGACTAAAGTGAGAAACTAATTACTTGGTATACATATATATATAATGCAAGTCAACTAGCAAAAATTAATCAAGAAGGTAAAGCCAAGACAACATTTTCAATTCCATTTATACATACCTAAAATATGATACCTCTGAGGTCTCAATTATTTAAAATGGTTTCTATTACTGGAAATGTGTTTTACCTTGCATTTTAAAAGCATGCTTAAATAGACATTATTTAAGAATTTACATGTAGCAAAACCCAAAGATAAAAGAATATTATAGACCAAAAGAACTCACTATCTCCAAAATTACTGTAATGTAAGTGACAGCTGTATAAATCCCACACATTTCTTCACAAGCTGTCTGACAGTTTTTAATATACAACTGTAACTCCCACTGTGCTACAAGTGTTAGGAATGCATCTCCTTGAAACTTACTTCAGCTTGTAGGCTAATTTTCATTAGAAAAAAAAAATAGATAAATCTAATAGAAATGAATTGATTTAACTTACAGAGCAAGTCAATCATCAAATGTCCACCACGTTTTACTGATACCTGCTGTGACACAGTAAGCTCAATCATGCGAGGAAATGGCATTTTCTGATTTTCCATTTCTTGTCCTACTGCAGAAATACTATTCAAAGAATCTTCATTCACTGCAACTATTATGAGTTGTTTTGGTTTTATTATAAGTGGTGTAAAAACATTTCTAATTTTAAGCCCAGACTCGCTTTCTGAAAATTAAGTTATTTTTAGGGAGGTTTTATTCTGCAAATTCTATGCAAGCATGAACAACACATCACAAAATTAAAAAAAAAAAAATTAAAAACAAAAAAAAAACAGAAAAAACCACCCAATCCCCCCAAAATATATAAAAGCATATAAACCAGGTTACAGCTTTTCATACTACATTCTTAAGCTAAGAATGTGTATGCAGCATGTCCAAAGCCAGAGGGGTATAAAGCAATGGAGCGTTACCTTTGGAAGGAGGATGAGAAAGACTCTTGCACTACTGAGGCGGTGGCTGGTGCTGTCATCAGGCTGGCTGTGTTTGGAGCAGCAGTAGCAGGCTGAGGTGCTGAAGCATGTGGTGAAGGAGCAGCAGAACTGGGAGCCACCGGGGCATGCTCAACAGGGGTACTAATTAGAGTTTAAATAAAACAAGAAGCATCTTAAGAAGGCGCACATTTACATGGAGAGCATAAAACCTACTATGTTTGAACCTGCAGCTGCAAACATAGTAGCAGGCTGGGTTACTGAGGGAAAAGCACAATTATGCAAAGAAAAGATAGACATTTGTTCAGCCTTTTCCATTGTGCAGTTCGGACTGCAACACGGGGTTGGTCCTGCTTGACTGAAACTTACCCCAGGTGTTAAACAGCACTCCAGTCCTGCTCCCACTGATGCCAGGGGTAGGAAATGTGGCACTCAGGACTGAAATGGCTGTGAAGAGCCTGCCACAGTCTTGTCAGCTATATAAATTCCATCAAATATATTGAAATGAATGATAATAATCTAGTCCTGTAGCCTGTTACCATTTCAGTAACATGTTGAACTACTAATGTCTTCCATCACCTTCCTCAAATTTGAGAATTACTCATCTCTTACAGACAGACAAATGGAGGGAAGTTAGCAGGTTTTTTTGAAAATCAGGACATCACTGTACATAGTTGTCTTGTCCATAAGCAGTGGCCTAGAAGCATAATGGATATATGTCTACTTCTTTAGACCTATGTCATAGGTATATTGTTATCTCTCTGTAACTTACAAATTACTCCTATCAGGGTGATGAAATTCGGTGATTCTCTTGCTCAAGGTACAAAGCCCAAAATGTTTCTTCCTGAGCACAGCAAGTATCAAATAACAAAAGAAACCTTACAGTTCCACAGCTGTTTCTTCAGCCAACGTTAGCCCTCCAACACCCTCAGCCTTTTTTCCTAAGCAGATTTGCCATCTATTGTGCAAATTATCTCATATTTTCTTTTGATTCTCTCAGAAGCACTGATTTGACAAGTTATGCTCCTCAGGACCTAGAACAAGTGCTTGGTACTTCGGAATTTATGATACTCCTTGTTCTCCAAGGGACTGTCCCGTTTCCCCTGTCCTTCACCTCTTCTTCTAGAGTTCAATAGTCTACATGACGGTGTCTTAATTCAGCTGAATATTTTGTTTGATTTGCTGAAACAGAAGCTGGTTGTTATACCCACAAACCTCCAAGTTGAATGCAGCCCACAATAAAAGCAGGAAATCAGTATTTTCTCCCTATGAGTCCCTTATGGAGATTCATCTATAGTTATGTACATAATAAGAAAGTTCTAGAAAATAATCATCCAGTTTGATGGCTTTCAAATCCTTACACCAAGTTTTGCAACAGTTTTGCAGAAGTTCTTCCACTGTAATATGCATTTGAGAGTCAGATGACTTCTTCCATCCTAGATGCATTTAATGATGCAAATTCTTCCAATTAACTAGTAGATTATCATTTTCACAGCCTATGTAGCAGAGTGGCTGTGTATTTTCCATCACAGCAATCTGGTACTGAATTTCAATACTGTGAAATTTTCCCTGTGCCACAGGGGGCACCAGAATTACCCCATTAAAAGCAGTCAAGTCACAGTTTCCATCTTACACACTTAGATATCTTTGATTTAGCAAATAGGAAAGGATTGAAATTATGCTGCACATAAAAAATGGAACTTAACATACGTGTTAAAAACAAACACAAACTAGGATTTCACCTATTTTGTCTATTTGCACTGATGTGAAAGGGAATTTGCTACAGATTTCTAGAGGTTCAAGACTTCATATCTTCAAGAGAACAGTGAAGTTAATTGCAACTTAATTGTAACAATTTCAAAAATAACCATAAAAATACAAATAATCAAAATACACATTCAGTGATAAATATTGGAAAGAAAGTGAAAAAACCAAATCCATATGTGAGGACATGGACCTGTGTGGAGACAGATTTGAACAGAACAAACCCATATAAATAAAATAAATGCAAATATACTAGAATACCTTTTAAACTTCTTTTAAAGTTTAAAAGAAATACAAACAAATTTTATCTTGCATAGTGTTTGTAATATTTCTTTTTATGTGATCAAAATGTTAGAAGCTTGCTTACCTTCCTTCATGGCAGTATATATTAATTATCAGAACAAGGAATTGGAATAAATATAAGTGTAGTGGATATAACCATAAAAATCAGAGTGGTTTGGTTACATAAATCATATGCAGTTGATAACATTCTCAAAGCAGTTTTAGAGAAAGAGCTTGAGACTAACTTGACTGGTTTTAAATTAGCAACTATAAATTGTACATATTTTTATTTATACTGTCAAATGCAATAGCCATACAATAACTGGGGTTTTTTTGTCCTCATTTCTAGTTTTTCAGTCTGATTTTTCATTTTATTTCTTCAAGTGCAGAAGAATTTTAAGAATTGATAAATGTGAGTGCTGCTTTATAAAACAGAGCATCTAATGCAACAGTGTCATTATGACATGCTACAGAGGGTTTTTTGGTTGGTTGGTTGGTTTTTAAATACAATAGTTTTGTAGACTTTAAATCTTTACAGTACTTTGCATCTTAAAAGAAATTGAAAAAAATCAAACATCTTCATATTTGTGGTAACAAACATAAAAGTAAGTTAGGTGGATGAAAACAAACACACATCTCTTCTCAGCTGATTTTCACTCATGAAAAGGAACACAGATCAGTAGAGGTTAAGAGGATAATAATGGTTAACAACCATAATGAGAACACAGCAACAAATGCACTCTAACATTTAAAATATAAGTATAGATTATACTTTTTTCTCTTGGTGATGTCCTAAGTTCTGAGACTTTCTATCCAAATAACGAGGAGTGGATGATTAAAACAGCACTTAGTCTCCTTTATGTAATGCATGAAGGTTTTTGTGATTCTAATCCTCCAACAGATCACTTGGAAAGAATCAAAGATATAGAGAACAAAACTAAAATGGATATGAAAAAAAAATCTATTATCACATCATTTGTAGAAAAAAAGTGCTGGAGAAAGTATTTAGAGAAAGCTGTAATGTCGAAGGATTTTATATTTGAAAATGGGAATGTTTGTGGAATCCACTGAAAATACAGAAATATCAGCTGCTGTTTCTCTGCTGAAGATGCTTAATGACTTGTCTCTGTATAGTAGGTATGATCCTATGAGAGCCACAGGAAATCTAACACCCACATGAACCAGAAGTTGATGGAACTGGAAGAATTTGAATGTCTGCCTTTGAGGCAATGGGCACTTCCATCTGCAGGAGTTAGAGGTGGTTATTACCAAACCATTGCAAAGCTCCAAACCAGGTCAGTTATGCAGTTACACGGCACAGTGTACCTTTGGTTACTGGATGAAGCAAGAGGGGCTTTCTGGCCAAAACCGGCCTCCCCCTGGCTTGTACCTGCTCCAAGCCTCACAGAGCCCTTGGAGGCCACTGGCTGAGCATTGGCAGTGTTGGCATCCCTGGTGGATGATTTAGGAGGGTGCCAAATACTCGAGGTCACATACTGGGGCGCGTGCGCGGTACCTGTAGGCCTGGGTAACAGAGATTACAAGGGCGTTTGTAAATGAGGCACTTCATAGGTAATAGCAGGGGTTTGAGGAAGAGACAAAATTCCAGCCACAGCTGGAGCTGGAGATCATAATGACAGTGCAGATGAAGTAATGACTAAACTTGACAGCTCATTGGTTAATTACTGCTTAAGACCAGGAAAGGCTTGACAAATTAAAAAAAGTACCTTGTGTTAAATCTGGAAGGCACATATTGCTATGAATATCAAAATAAGCAGAGCTGTGATGGTAATGGAGGTGGAGAAAGGCTGTGGTATGACAGATCACACAAGATTAAGGCAACAAAGGAGGACAATAATAACAGTCATATATCAGAAATTGTTCCTGGCAAAATAAAATAGTAGTTAAAAGAAAAGGAGATTTCAGGGAAGCATAGTCCTATAGTTAGTTTTACACAAATGAAACTGCTGGTGAAAGTCTAACATGTGTTGCTTGTTCTTTACAATTTAATTTATATTCAGGAATTACGGGGTTTATTTCCTTCTTTATCATTAATTTAAAAAGAAAAATCAATTTTCCCAACTGTTCAAGTGCCAGTTACCATTGCTTGTGTCATTATTAACAAATAATGCTTGCACTCAGATATTAACTCTGTGCAACCTTTGTTCAAATATAAGCAATCTTAAAAAAACCTCAAAATAAGAAGTGGTTGCATATCACTGAGGCAGGAATCAACAACAAGGAGAAAAGCAGTAGGATAAAATTATTGTCATGACTAACTAGTAAGAGGCTTTCTTTGCTTCACAAAACAACTGCTCAGATTCACTCAAGAAATACCTGTGTATCAGTATTTGGAGCTTTAATAAATAAACTAGTAGAAAATAACACATTTCTATACTTAACTGCAAAATGTTCTGAGATCCTTTGGGAGAAAACAACTTGAAATGAAAGAACTTACAGAGGAACTGTTTTGAACCTCATAAGCCACTGAGGATCAATCAAGATCTGACATTAGTTTTCTTAAGAAGATGATCTTATTTAGATTTTAAAAACACCTTGAACAGTCTAGACAAAGTTTAAAACAGAAATTGTTCTTAAAACTCCATCACAAACTGACAGCACTCCATTTCAAGAATATTTGAAATTTCTTATTTTTCAGGTTCATAAGTTCTGAGAAACACAACCCCCACCTGTTACAAATCACAGTGCATGAGAAAGAAAAGCCTAATGAACCCACTTAGCTGAAGCCTCTACTTTCATCTGTTCAAACAGTGTACAAATTTCATGTTTTTGAGGTCAGAACAATATGCAGAAAGGGGATATCCACTCTTAACAGGAAGCAAATCAAACACAGCAAACATTACCTGTTTTCTGATGCTGCTGCAATGTTTTCCTTGTCTCTGTGAAAGGAGGGGATACAGTATGAAATAAATGCAATTTCCAGCGGTGGCAAAAATCATCAACCCATAACAACCAAGGAAAAAGAACATGGGTTGGGGAGAAATGTTTGGTTGCAAAAAGCATCCTAGAGTGGTTGCTCATAAATACAGCTGTGAGAAAGCTCTTCAGCTTTCCAGGTGAAACCACCAGATATACAAGTTTGCTGTATGCTTCTTATCAGTTGCAAACAACTTTGTTTCAATAATAAAGAAAAATTAACATTTACAAATGAGACATTGTATGTGTGTATACAATTTCAGGAATAGTTTTGGCTTTAATAAGTTCCCTTTTAAAAAATAATTCAATGATATTCCAGCAGAACATACTTAGATGACAAATCCAAGCAGTAAAAATAATCAGAGTTGGGCAGTCCTCACGGACCCAGTATTTTGAAGTGGTAAGCAGTTAAACAGTTAACAAAAATTTACACAAAAAGGATTTCTTATGCCTGGCATTACACTTAAAAATTCTCTGCCCTATCCAAACACTAGTTTCCTCTCCTAAACTGGATTAGAAACAATTCCTTCATCTGGAAATCATTCCTTCGTTGACGTGAGGATTAAGTCAGCCTCAGTTTCCCTGATAGAGAACTGGGCTGTTATTCTGTAAACACACATACACACTTAAAAAATAACTGATCAGTTTAAATGCAAGCAATTGTTTATCTGTAAGAAGTTAAGACACAAGTATTTTCATAAAGAACAGAATCCATTAGCCTTAAACACCTAAATTTGAAATCCAGATAGTTAAGTAATTGAGATAGTCTCACTATTTAGGAATTTAATTGCTAATTGATTGCATCCCTTCCTATTTAGGGAATTGTGCTGAAATTTCAACAGGTTTAAAGCTGAAATATGCCAAATGAGAACACTTTTCTTAAGTGGGATGTAAAATTACAAACCACAAAGCAAATGTCCTCATTTACCCAACTGAACCTTCTTTCTGAAGCATCCTTTGCAAACAAAAAAAGGAATACATGCACTTCTTGATACAGATTTGCTGGTCTCCAATCATTGACTTACATTATGTCTGGAAGGCTATTCTTAATATTTTCCACATCATTATCAGTATTGTGTTTATGTATATATACATTTACACATATATGTACAGTTGTATTCTTTCCTTAGTTCAGTTACAATAAAGTTAAAAGAAACCAATCCAATTAAGATCAGCAAAGGCTTGAGCATATGTGCTCTCTATGAATTTTAAAAATGTCTAACTAAAATGTAGCCCTAAAATATATGAATTGAAGCCAGATGTTGACCTGAAATGCCCCTCAGATATGTCTAAGATGTTCCTGTGGTCAGAAAAGACTGCCTTGAACAGATCCCCCAACAAGGTTGATGTGTCACCACTCTGAAGCAATGAGAAACCAAACACCGTCTTTATGGTAACCAAGCTGTGAGTTCACTGCAATGCCAGCTATGAAACAAGGTGCAGGAGGATGGATTAGAGACTGTGCAGGAGTGGAAAGTGTTAATTACCAAGAGCCATAATCATGCAACAATTTTAAAGAACACAGTCAGGGCCTGGAAACAAAATACAGCATTATTTATCTCCAGAGCTGCTGAATGCTTCATGAGAAATTACAGCCAAGACCAAAAGGCAGGCAGTTGGGGTCAGGCTGAAGCAGTGCTAAGCCTCTGTTGTTACAACTAATCTGATCCTAACTTTTCTGCTCCAATAGCTGTGGCTACACTGAACAAGGCAAAAAAGAAAAAAAGTCACTTGACTCAAGGTCACTTTGAGGTCAGGATTTCACAAAAGCTTTTTCCCCAAGTGTACAATATTGGATAATGTTGAGTGACGATGGCAGGGAAGTTGTGAAGGTTAAAAAGAGAGAGAGTAGCAAAAATACTTCCACAAAATAAAACAAAGGAAAAGGCAAAGAGTAAAGGGAAAAATTAGTTCAAAGGCACATAACAGTTCTTCATGGTTTTGCTTCCAGGAACTATTTATCTTCCCACTCAATAGGAGCAATTCCCATTTGGCTACCAAGAAGAAAGGCTCAAGATCAGATGTGTCTCTGACTGACAATACTTGCATTTTAAGGAACCAACTATTGGATTTCTGGTCTTTACAATCAAAACATTTTTTGCTAACTAAATGGAGAAATAACTTTACTTTTGAGCCAAATACATCCCTCGGGCAGGCTCAGTAAAGTCAATACCTTCACAACATGAAAGAATTTGGCTCAGAATATTATGAGCTGTTTGTATCTGTCTACACAGGCTGCTGCAATAACTGACAGTAGTGGATAATAGTTTTGAGCTATCTGGGAGAGATTTAAAATTACTGTAGGGTTTTGGTTTTTTTGTCTGCAGTTGTTTGTAGTCCCCACTGAAATGGCTTTTGATAGAAGGGCTTCAGTCAATGACTGTTCTGAGAGAACAGTGCAACTCCCACAGATTTCATTAAATGTTGGACGTGTATTTCAAACAAGACTTATGCAATATAATGTCTTCCCAATTACACAGTATATTATACAGTGAAAATTATGGAATGTTTTCTTCTCATAAAATAAGCCACATGATATATTGCTAAAGACAGAGTGAAATTATAGAAATAGAGTCTTTCCCTCCCACACACCAACAAGAATTACAATAGTTTGAGTAACAGAAGGCAAAAGTCATTTGCAAGCCAAGCTTGTGTACTATTGGATCCTAAAAATAGCCTGGAGAAACTTCAGAGAGTTTTCAATAAATGAGTATGTTAAATCTGAACTGTATGTACTGGACATTGGAATGCTTTCCCATTCTGCTTTATTTTTGGGAAGCAAATGCAAAAGATACCCAAACATGTACATGTAGCAGGCAAGCTGAAATGTGGAGATTGTGCACCTTCCATCTACCTTCTTAGGTAGTAAAGGATCCAGACTCTCTCTCTCTTGAAAAACTCTGCTCTATTCCACTAAAATGTAGAGACAGAATCATATGTTTGAAGACCTGGTGACATAAAGAAACATGAGGTGTCCTGAGGGACCACAACTTCAACTACTCTTTCAGTACTGAAGCAAAAAGTGAATATCCTGATATTTCTTCTCTATACTCCTGTGGAGCAAGACTATTTTTCTAATTTTACAAATGAGAGAATAAAACTTAATGGAGTTGTTCATGGTCTAAAAGAAAGTCCACAGCAGTGTAAAGAACTGAAATAAACTTTCCCAAACACCAGCTGAATATTTAAAATATCAGTTCATCCTCTTTAATGAGGTATTACAGATTTTTTAAAAAATTTATCTGTTCAGTTTATCAGTATTTTACTGTATTGAGAATCCAACAGTCTTCTACCGAGTCTGACAGATATACAATAGTATTTTTTTGAAAGGGGAAATATACCTACAGATTATTAGGGTCTGTATTTATTGAAATTAAAAATTCTGTTTTTCCAGTAGTATAGTGTGGATTTTCAGGACTAATCAGACTTATGGTAACTTTCATCCCAACATGTACTTATATTTATATAAGCATATTTTCCTACAAATAAAATTTCCTTTTAAGAAGTAGAATTAACAAAGTAATTTTAAATAAATTCTTATAGGGTGTCTGGGAGTAAAGCTGTGCGAAAGCTATTTTGTAACTGCCTTCCAAACATTTTTTGTCTTGAAGGCACGAGACACTGACACTGTTGGAAACTGGACACTGAGCTAGATTAACTGCTGTTCTGATCCAATGAGGCTATTTCTATCTTTCTGTACTTGCAGCTGAGAATTTTTCCATGGTCAGATGACTGTTGAGGTTGCTTGTTTTATTTTCCCCCATGCTTTATTTCTGTTATTTTAACAAAGACACCAGAAGACAAACAAAGAAATGACAGGCAGTTAACTGGAGAGGACAGAAGATGACTATCATGCTGGTTTAGTTAACACTTCAGCTTGGGATCACAAAAAGGGGTAGAAGACCTAGTCTCTCTTTTTCAGCCACTGAAGTTAAGAATGTGAGCAGCCCACGCCGGAACAATTGCAATATATCCTACTATGTCTGCTTTCCAAAACAGGGCAAAACACTTTTCTCACAGGGGCATCCTGGTTTTTGCAGAAAGTGCCACAGAATAGGAAAACCATTATCACAGATTCAGTGGAAAACAACCAGCAGCTCATTCTCAACACGTCGTATGGAACTCAATCAAAGCAGCTCACTAAAATCCAAGCCAATCCCTCCTATGAATGCATTTCAGTGGCATCTACAGGGTTGCTGTTAAATTTAACAGTCACAGAATAAATGCAGCTGGACATACAGCAGCATCAGTGTTGGGGAAAGGTAAGGTAACTCTTGCCCAAGGTTTACATTGTGATATTTAGCATTAACATAAACGCCAATTTTAAATTTTATCTTATTGGTAAATACATCACTTTAATAAGAACAAAGACTGCAAGATTCTGAGCATGTGTAGCTGTTTGAGCTGGGATTTAATTCAGATAATTATTCCCTATCTTGGCCTTAAGTGTGCAATTTGATTTAATTGAACGTTTCCCTGTAGCTTTCTATAGCCCCACTGTAAAGTGCAGGGATCTGCCACCAGGCACCTGAGCACAGGATCCAAACTCTCAGTCTGTGTCTGTGACCACTGCAGACAAAACCAGTGCACAAGTTTGGGTACTGTATGCCAGGAAATGAATCCCCTCTCACTGAAGTGTTCCTTCTCATCGTGACTTCTCTTTTCTCCAGGGAAGCTGAGGAAACAACAAGAACTCAGAGGTTTGACTTTCAGGGGGTAGTTTTTTAGACCGACTGTTGAATTTGTGCACATTGATAAGAAAATTCATACTTCCTCTACATGCCATTAAGCTAAGTTTGAAGCTGTCCCTGAAACCCAGCAATGTGTCTGTGCAGTTCAGTTCCTGACTCAAACAACTAAGTGCTATGAATTAGAAACCGCTGTCATTCTTTCAGAATGTGGATTAAATTTTGTTTCATAAGCTGTTTTAAGGATTTTCTTACCTTCCCTCTCTCTCATTTGT